TCTCCTTGCCTCAAGGGTTTTTTCCACAGGGCCACTGAGTATCTGCATGACAAGGCAGCATTATTCCTTATTTTTCAAAAATTATTTTAGAATCTTGGGGTATATGTGAGGATTTGCTACAAAAATACATCGCATGAAGGTGAGGTCTGGGTTTCTGACAAGAAGCCACTGGTGGGTGTAAGGCAGGTGTGGAGAAAAATAGAAATTGCTGAGTAATCAGGGAAAGAAAGGGAAATTTATTAAAGGGAAACGTAGGGAGACTGGTCCTAGAGAAGAACCAGCCTCTTGTTCTTTTGGCGGGTCTCTCTTATACCCTATAGCTGGAGTTTAGTTCCTGAGAAAGCAGGTGCTGGTGGTCAAGTAGCCCAAGATGCAACCTTGAGGAAGCAGACTGGTGCTGGTGGTCGCAAAGCCTTGAGATGTGACCTTGAGAAAGCATGTGCCAGTAACAAAAAAAAAAATGTCACTTAAATGGTGTGAGGTTAGCACAATGAATCATTTCAACAATGGCCCCCCACCCCCAAGCCCTATCAGTGGGAAAGACGTACAATGGCAGTTCGGAGTCCCTCATTCCCCCTCCCTCTGTCCCTCCTTTAGCAGTGCCCAGTGCCTGTAGTGCCCATCCTTGTGCCCAGGATTTATTGCCCGTTAATGAATGAGAACGTGGAGTCTTCAATTTTTTGTTTCTGTTGATAGTTCACTTTGTTTCTTTCTTTACAATATGTGCCTTTCATTTCTTCTTTCCTTATTGCAGTGACTACAACATCTGGGACTGAGTTAAATAAAAGTAATGAGGTTAGACACTCTTGCCTTGATCCTAATATTCACGGTAAAGAATTTAGTCTTTAACAATTAAGTATAATGTTAGCTATAGGTCTTTGTAGATCCTCTTTATTGAGTTGACATAGTTCCCCTTTATTCTCAATTTGTTGAGAGTTTTTATCATTAATGAGTGTTGGATTTTATTAAATCCTTTTTCTAAATCAATTAATGCTACCATATGATTATTCTCCTTTATCCTGGTTATAAGGTAGATTACACGGATCAATTCTGAAATTTTGAAACAGCCTTATGTAGGTAAAATAAATTCCAATTGTTCATAGTCTATACTTATTTGTTTTATAATGTTTGCTTTAGTTTGCTAATATTTCTCTTGAGAATTTTTGTGTCTAGGTTCATGACAAGTATTGATTTGTGGTTTTTATTATTTGTACTATCTTTGCCTGATTTTGGTTTTATTTATTCCGTCTGTTGTTTTCCTGTATTCAGTTTATTTCTCTTTTTATTTTTATTGTTTACTTCTTTCTACTTATTTTGTTCTTGTAAATGTATAAGAAAATTTAAAAACATTGGGCCAAAATCCAGACAAAGTGATAATCTAGAGAGCTGAAACTTACTATCCCCTTGAAGATATTTTTTGATGTCCCAAGTTACCTGAGAAATGAAGCATAGTGTTTGAGAAAGTTGTGAGTTCAGGGGGATAAAAATAGAATTTCAGGTCCCAGCAAAGGGTAGGGTGGGAGTGAGAGGTGGTCTTTTGTAACTCCTGAGACATTAGACCTCAAAAATAAGTGCATGTTTATCTTTTTTTTTTTTTTCTTCCTTTCCCTTTTTCTCTTTGAAAGTGGTAACATGATAGGGAGCTAAGGAGTTTCGGTAGTCTAGCTGGCACAAGCATGATGGAAGGAAGTGAATATGGTAATGAGTCCAGAAGTCAAATAGGTGGCAGATCAGAAAGGTGGCCAACATGACCAGGAAAGTAATTTCATACAAAGGTGGAATTAAGCAAAAAAGTAAATGTATTAAGGACAATGGAAACCAAATATACAAACTATAAAACCCCTGAAGTCTTGTATTGAGTAATTTTGTAGGTGTTGCTATAAATCGTTACAGTATATGTAAATGTATAGAGAAACTCAAAAAGTATGTATTTGTGTATATATGCACATATATACAGAGACAGAGAGAATGAGAGATAGAAACAGAGAAACAAATAAAAAGGCAGAGTGAGACAGTGTTAGAAAGAGATGAAGAAAGAGGTAGTTGTCTATTGTCTATTTGTCTATTAACAAAATAGAAGCCATGACACACAAAATACTCAGGTCTTGATTTCTAAATGTTATACATCACTAAAATGAACTCTAGTTTTTTTCTTTTCTTTCTTTCCTTCTTTCCTTCTTTCTTTCTTTCTTTCCTTCCTTCCTTCCTTCCTTCCTTCCTTCTTCCTTTTCTTTCTTTCTTTCTTTCTTTCTTTCTTTCTTTCTTTCTTTCTTTTTTTTTTTAACTGCAGGTTTCAGGGTTAAGACAACAAATACATGACAAACCTGAAAACAAGGAAGCTCTCAAAATCTGATAGGGAAATGTCAAAAAGACAAAAAGTCAGTTTGCAGAGACTCCTGCTGGCCAAGTCTGGAATAATTTGAGTATAAAAAAACTTATGTTCATCAATGGTCATAGGTTTGGGGGAGGAAGAAAAATTTACTTCTGAAGTAAAGTGTCATTTTTACCGCATATCAAGAGTACCTGCTATCCACATATCTTATCACTGATGTTAACCTGGACCACCTGTCTGAAGCAGGGTTTTTCAGGTTTCCCCACTCTAAAGTTACTCTTCCTTCCACATCACATTCTTTGCCTTTTCCATACTCTTTACGAGTCACTATATGAATCTCACACTTAAGGATTAGGATGAGGAACTATATATAAGTAGCTGGAATTCTTCCGTATGGAATGTTTATTTTCCCCATTTAAGTATTTAATCATTTATTTATATCAACATAGATTTATGCATACTTATTTTATGCTGTGGGTTATAGTCCAGTACTACTTTATTTGTTGTTCAAATTGCATTTACAGATATTTTAATCACATAAAAGAGCTCCTTGGTATGGCTCCAATTATGAGCAACTACCACCCTCATAAATTCTTCCCAAGGACTTCCTCATCTTAAAATAATGTGTCTATTTTCTGTTGCCAAAAAGAATATCACAAACTGGGGCTTACAAAAACAAACAAACAGAAACTCACAGAAGTTTATTTGGATGACAGTTTGGAAACTGGGAAGTCCAAGTACATGGGGCTGGTATCTTGCAAGGGCCTTCTTGCAGTATCATTACCAAGCAGAAGGCATTATATAGTGAGAACAAGAGCCAAAGAGAATTTATTTTTATAATAAAGCCACTTTGACAATAATGAACTCACTCCTGTGATCGCAGCATCAATCCATTTATGAGGGCAGAGCTCTCAGTCATCCATTAATCCATTCATGAAGGCAGAGGAATTGTTTCCAATGCATACATTTTTGAGGGACACAATCAAACCATAGCAAGTGGCATAATCATCCAGTCAGATAATCAACATTTAGAAAGTGTTTCTATGTATCTAAGATTGAAGGAATTATTCTAGAGATGTAATTATTGGGAAATATTCAACACCGAAGTACCAAAAATCTGTAACTACATTGGCCACCCCTGTACCCATCACTACATGATGCTGTTCAAGGTCCTCCTTGTCCCTAATCCACACAGACTCTAAGGCCAGCCCAGTAAAGATGTCAAAAAATAAATAAATAAATAAATAAGGGAGTTGAAGTTCCTATTTGACAATGAAATTAGATCCCAGACCCTTTCTTTTCCCAACTAAGTTACAGCAATATCTGGACAAGCTATGGGAAGATATAATTGATCAAAATTTCAATCAGGCTACCTTGAAATATGTTGCTCCACTAGGGAATGCTGTCAGAAATATACATAAGGTTTTCATGCATCGACTATGATGTGGGCAGTATCAACTATGAATTTTACAAAGTACACAACAAAAAAACTTGTTATTATACACTATAATGTCAAATTTTAAAAATCATGACAAAATAGAAATATAAAAATAATAATTGTTCTCAGCAATTGATTCTGATCCACTCCCTCACTGTCCTCAACAAAATCTTAATATTTTTCAAGACTCTAATTTTTGCATAATGCATAAATATGGTACACTTAAAAAAATGATTTTTATTCTGAAAAGCCATAAGTATTGAACAAGTTGCTGAGAACCCTTGAACTTTTCTCCACAAAGTAAAAAAGTAAATAATATAGATTTCTATTTAATTTTGCCCTTTTGGCCTAGAAATTAAGAAAGTAAGTTTTCTGCTAAAGACTCATAGTAAGTTTGTCAGGATCTTGTGATTTCTCTGTGTTACTGAGGAAGTAGTAGTACACACAAAATATAATTTTAAAAATAGAAGACATGAATAATATTAAAAGTATAGTACAGAAAATGAATAGAATTTTTAAAACTGAAGACATAAACAACATTTAAAAATTAGTTATTCTTTTCCATCTGCTTTTGTACTACTTTATTGCAAATATCACAATCTTCAAAGTTTTACTTTACAGCACTTACATTCTTTGCATTGTAAATAGAGCAGAAGAAACTCTAAAGGATAAACATTTAAAATTAGTTGAAAGCATTCAAGCATATATAACACTCACTGGAATTATTAATAGACTTCTGGAAATTAGTTCTTTATGTTTAAAAATTTACACTAAGGTGTCAATTTCCAGATTAAGTTTTTCGTGGAAAGGAAAATAAAATCATAGCTATAGTTATACCCCTAACATTTATATTTTTTAAATTTTTTTCTTCTAGGTTCTCCCAATTTCATGTAATACACATGTATGCCTATATATATATTAAAAGTCCTACTAAATTTAAAAAATCAAAAAAGTTTGAAATGCTTATTTATTTTTAATGAATCTCTAACAAAATGAACTGCGTTCCTACAGGATTCCCATAGATTATAGCTTTGTATAGTATTTGTAAAAAAAAAAAAGATATGAAGAAGAGGAAGCAAAAGAAAAGGAAAACACAATTTAAAAGACTACAGCAGAGGAAAATATCCTTATGTATCCTTAATATGAACAACTAAATAAACATGGGAACCTGACTCATGGTCCTTCACATGGCTCCTCTACGAATCTAAAATAAAAAAAAGTGAAGAATGCTGACAAGAAATCTTTAATCTTTTGTGTTAAGAAAAGAAAGTCCTTCTTAGATCTCCGTTCGAAACTTCAGTGTAGATTCCTTCATTTGTTGCTCATAGTGTGTATCAAATCTTTCATTTAGGGCTACTGTAAAGTGATTCTTCCAGTCCCCTGTAATCCCTGAAACAAAAGAGAAAGAAGAATAAATTTTAAGTCTCCAAGAAAGAATCATGAGGTTTTCTTCAACACTCAAACAAATACAGTTCTCGTGATTCTGTTTTAGGAATAATGCGTATGTCATAAATAATATACTTATTTGAGTTTACAAAGATGGGTTCATCCTAACTGGTTAAAAAATAGCAAATTCAATTCTCTGATTTTTTTCTCTCTTATGCTACTTAATTTTATTTTTCTTCTCACAAATCTCCCAGGATGAGACCCATATTTTATCCACTTCCAAGATGTTAAATGACAACTTAACAACGGCCTACATGACATTGACACCTGGATGTTTTCCAAGTATTCCAAACTCATTAGTTCAAAAATAAACTCATTTTATTACCTATCATATTGTTATCTGTATGTACATCTAAATAACCTGTTTAGTGGAAACACCAGGTATCCAAGGCATAAATTTGGACTTTATTCCCTTAACCACAACACCTAAGTCATTATTTATATTCAGGATTTCTTTATATTCATTACCTTCTCTCCACTTCTCTTGCTACTGCCAGTTAGATAGTGTTTTCCATCTGGGTAATTATAATAGCAGGCTCTTCTTTTTCACACTTCCAACATGGCCCTAGCAGAAGGACATCACCCTTCATTTTAACCCAGTCTGTTTACTTGCTCTGATCCCAAGGAGTTCTAAACTTTCCACTGAAATAACCTAAGAAACAGAAGATAGAAAGTGTGTACCCTAAAAATCAGTGGAGTCTGAGGGTATAGCAGTAAATTATCCTCTGTAAGCATGACAATTACTTTAAGGCCTCTGCTTTACTTTGAATGTGTATGTAGACATTTTGGAAAAGGAAATATAATGTAAAGAGAAGATAATTAAAATATAATTTGAGAGTTGAGAGTTGAGTCTCTTTTTAGTGGTTCTGTTTTTGTCCAGTGGCAGGAATGTTATTCTTGTTATTTAAAAAAATTCCCTGACTCTCTGACTGATAACAAGATTCAAAGAGCAAGACTTTTTCTATTCTCTTTCTACTTCCTCATATATTGGTAAGACAGATGTCCCAATACTCAATATTTTACATGATCTAAGACATGTAAACTGACTATATCTCATCAGGTCATTCCTCTTTCCAAATAAAATTTTGCCCCCTTTTATGTTGATATTTTGCTAAACAGAGCTGTATTTGAATTCCTAACTGCCACTTACTCTTGAAAAGTTTTTGCCACTTTTTCAAAAAAAAAAATTGACTAATTATTCTAAGCTTATTTCCTCATCTCAAAATGAGAATAATAGAGCCTTTCTCCTGAGTTGCTGATTAGAACTTAAGGAAACTATACAAAAACAGCAAGTAATCATAATTTAGTGGTAGTCGTGGTGTTTTATGCCTCTGCAAAATGGACAACCAAATAAAGAAGGTGCTCAAAATGTGAGAGAATACTGAGGAAAACATGAATGGGTTCATATGCATGAATAGACCTCGCTAGATTTTTGCCAATAACCATGTCAGCTTGTGACATCTCATGATGTAGCGGCAAATCACATGATGTTCTCACCTTTTCTCATGAAGGGTGACACTTTATGGTTCATGATATCCTCTGGTAATGTTGTATAATTGGTACATGGATTGTTCTTCATCTCCTGGAATGAAGTATGTTGTATAATCTTGTCCACAAGCTCCTTTGATGGCTTCCTATCCAGGAATTGTATCAGTTTCACTACCTCTTTTCTGATATCCTAGGGGGAAAGCATGCTTTGAGGACTTAAGTACTAAAATTGAATACATTGCTATTTGGATAAATAATGAGAAAGAATAACACTCTTTTTCCCACTAATATCTTAATTAAACTTCCAGTGAGTAAAAACACTTTTGGGGGAAGTTTGTTTCATTTTTAATAATTTTTAAAAATAATTCTCCTTATCCATAAAATGCAAAGATCATGAGAACAACTAAATTAGATGTTTGTAAATGCTTATTGTAGACCTGGATGCATAGTCACACTGACTAGATGTTATGTATGGATATGAATATTCATACTTAAAGACTACATACAGTACCCTTAGAAAGACCAAGTTTGGATGATGAATGTATGCAGTCAACTTTCTTCTTTCTCTTCATTTATTGGTGTAATTAGTGAGAAACAAAGGAATCAAAAAGATTAAGAAAAAGTGTAAAAGTCAAATACTCAACATGAAACATCAGATGTATATATACACACACAATAGCTACAAACAGCCCTGTCTCTAGACCTCTCCTATAGTACACCCATTATTCAGCCATATCACTCAATGCAACTATTTGCAGTACTAACTGCAATGCCTATTCTAGTGCACATTTCTCTTTATGCAGAATGCTATTCCCAAATTCTCTGTCCAACAAATCATAGCTTGTCTTTCAAACTTTGTTTACCATTTTCTTTATGATGATATCCTTAACTACTCCAATTTTAGTTAGACAAACCTATTTTTGCTCCCAAAATTTTCATATAAATCTACTGTACTATATGTATGTTGTTATAATATTTTATTACTTATCTATCTTACTGAAACAATTGTGTCTATATATAGACACAATTGTTTTATATATATATAATGTTAATATGCCTAGTTTTCTTTGTACTCAATACATGGTAGAAACAATAAAAAATTTGTTTGTTCTTAGGCTTTTATTGATTCAAATATAGAGGAAATCTAAACATGGCCATTATTGGCCAAAATAAGAGTAAGTAGACATAGACACTTTGGAGTGAGACAGAGAGTTGGATTAACTATTAAATTTTGTTTGTGTGCATTTCAAATTCACTGTCTTCAGCATTCTAGTTACAGAATACAATATTAGATTAGCTAATATAATAAACTACAGATTCTGGCAGATTTTCTTATTCAAATTTGTTCTAGTATTAACTTATATAAAAGAACTAATTTAATTTTTTAAAGAATTAAATATGATTTTATTTTAAATATAAAATCCATCAAAGTAACTCTAAAAGCACTGCAAAACTATAAAGGATTTTAAAGATTATTCAAATATGTGAACACTACATGAAAATCAATTGCTCTTCTTGGTGTTAGTAAAGGATGAGAAAATAGAATAAATTTATCACCTTTCAATAAAGAGACCCAGTAATTTTTTCCATCTTTTAAAAAATTCTGAGATATGTGAGATATTCTTCTTTAAAGAATAAAGTTATATACAGCACGTATTTCCTATTAACAACTTGTAAAATAGAACATTTACAAGTTTGCTTAGTTTTTTTTGTTTTTTTTACTCTTCACTCCTATTACACACACACACACGCACGCGTGCGTGCACACACACACACACACACACACACACACACACACACACACATAACCAAAAATAAAAAGTCCAGTTCCTATCCCCAAATTACCTAATGAATCCTCTGCATTACTTTATAGCTTTCAAACTTAGGCATATATCCCTAGACAGCATATAGTTTGGTTTTACCCAATTAATGTGTGTATTTTAAGTTTATTTCCTTTCATTAGAGGACAATAAAATACATTATGTGTCGATTCTGGCTATACAGGCGGAACCCCAAAAAAAACCCCAAATTACCTTTTGGAGGGCGGGTCCCTTGTAGTACACTTGTAATTTGTTCTAGATCAAACAGTCAATCAATGTTTTTAACTGGAAGCTTTGAGAAGGTTGTGTCACTATTTGCAGAAGAAACGTCCTGAGTTGTGGCAAACAGATGACTGTTTCTTTCACACTGACAACACGCCTGCCCACACTGGGCTGAAAGTTCAGAAGTTTTTGACCCGAAAAGACATGACTCCCCGTGCCCCATTCTCTGTATTTACTGGATCTCTTCCCAAGCAACATTTTTTTGTTTGTTTCCCTGGACAAAAAAAGTCCTCAAAGGGAAACATTTTTGTGGAAGAGGTGAAACAAAAAATGACAGAACTACTCAAAGGCATCAAAATCGATGAGTTCATAAAGTGTTTTGAGCAGTGGAAAGAGTGTCTCAATAGGTGTATTACATCAAATGGTGAGTACCTTAAAAGTGACTGAAGTTTAAACATGTAAGAATAAATACATAATTTTTTATAAATAAATTCTGAGTTTTGGGGGGATCCCCCCATAGTATACTTGAGTTGTTTTCCATTTTTATAACTATGAAGAATGCTATTATGATGACTGTTATACATATAACCTAATGTACACAAGTCAGAGTTTTTCTCAGGAATATATCTAAGAGCCGAATTTCTGGGTCTTACATTATGGGCAAGCTTGCCTTTGCTAGATAATGACAAATTGTTTTCACAGTGTTTGTTTTTTTCACACTCCTATCATCAGTGTTACTTTTCACTGATTCATATCCAGACTAATATTTGTTATTGTTAGACTTTTAAACTGATGTCATTCTTGTGGTTGTGAAATGGGTATCCCACAGTGATTTTTATTTGGAATTACCCTGATTAGCAATGAAGTTAAAGAAAAATTAGATTATAAGAACATTTGAAGGCCATCATATTTTTTTTTTCTCTGAGTTGGAGTCTCACTCTGTTGCCCAGGCTGAAGTGCAGTAGCACACTCATGACCACTACAGCCTCAACCTACTGGGCTCAGGCAAGTACACAACACCATGCTTGGCTAATTATTATTATTATTATTATTTTATTGTACAGATGATGTCCAAGTTGCCCAGGTTAGCCTTGAACCCCTGGGCTCAGGTAATCCAGTTGCCTCCACTTCCCAAAGTTCTCGGATTACAGGCATGAGCCACTGAGCTAGGCTCACCATATTTTTCATATTGCTGTTTCAACATTCTCTTTACTCTCTCCTTCCGGAAGTTTGAATTGAAATATGTGAGAACTTATCATTCTATCCTATATACCCATTTAAAAAAATGCCAACACTTAGTAAGAACCATTACTCTTTTTCAAGTATTCTGTTTATCTCACTGTGATACACTCTGGATTTTTTTCAGCTTCATCTTCACTGATTTACTTTTGTTGTTGTTCTGAATTAGAATATATGTATTTTTAAATTTTTAGAATCATGGGATACATGTGAGGATTTGCTACAGAAGTCTATTGCATGAAGGCAAGGTTTGGGCTTCTGACAAACCCTATTATCCTCACAGAGGCGGGAATGGTACCTACTTGGTGGATTGGAGTCCCTTATCCCCCCTCCCTGCCTCTTTCCTTTAGCAGTGCCCAATATCTCCTTAATACTGATTATGATAATATAATCCCATCATTCTTCCTGTGTGATCATGTTTAGTGCCCACTTATGAGTGAGAAATAGTGGAATTCAGATTTTTGTTTCTCAGATAGTTCACTTAGAATGATGATCTCCAGCTGCATCCATGTTGCTTCAAGGGACATAATTTTGTTTTCCTTTGACTGCGTAGTATTTCATTGGGTTTATGTACCACATTTTCTTTATCCAGGCAACTTTCAATGGTCATCCGGATGTTTTTGCTGTTCTGGATAGTGCTGCAACACTTCACTAGTTTACTATTTATAACATGTAATTTGTTATTTAACACATCTGTTAATTTTCCATACTTAATTTAAAAAATATTTTTAGAAATTCTATTTGGCTATGTTTTTCAAATCTGCTCTGTCATTTAGCATCTTATTTCTTTGCAATAAAAAATATATTTTTTAAACATATTAGGCGTAGTTCTTTTATAATCCCTATCTAATACTTGCAACATATGCAAATTTTAATTTTAATTTTAAAAAAACCAGTTGATTTTCTTTGCTGTTGGTGATTTCTTGTGTGTTTATGTGTATGTGTCTCTCTCTGTGTGTGTTGCAATTTTATGAATTCAAGTTCTTTCAAATTTTATCTTTGAAAGTTTTTGAAGCTTAGGTTTAAAACATATTCACTTTCAGAATATTTTTATTTGCTAGCTTCAAATTTATATTAAAGTGTCTATGCTGCTATAACCTTTTTCTTTTAAAATATTTGGAGATGGCAGCCTAGGCAACATGGCAAGACCTAGTCTCTGCAAAAAAATAAAAAAGCTAGCGTAGTGTGCTGGCTCATACCTGTAGTCCCAACTACTCAGAAGGCTGAGGCAGGAGGACGGCTTGAGTCCAGGTGTTTGAGGCTTGTGGTGAGCTGTGATCATGTCACTGCATTCCAGTCTGGGACACAGAGTGAGATCTCGATTTTAAAAAGAATTTTTTTTTTTTGGAGATGGCTGCCATCATTTATTTAAAGGAAGATTGTTGTATCCAGAGTGTCTTCAAATGCTAACATCTTAGAAATTACCAATTTGCTATGTATTTTAAGTTTCTCACCTCTTTCATGTCTTCATAGAAAAGAAACAGCACCTGCGGATTATTTGTCTTTTCCCACCAAGATTTGACATGTTTATACCAGGAACCGTAAGGAACTAAAGTTCAAGAGAAAAACAGTGGAGCCATATAAGATCATCTCTATACAACTTGAAAACAAATGATCAAACAATAGCAACAAATAAATATGAATACGTTATCATGAAATGAGAACCAATAGATCACCTGCACATCTTAAACAAAGTTCTCCAGAGCAAGAGAAGCAAACTATGTTGAATAATCCATGTGCAGAAAAATATTGTGAACTTTTAACATATGACATGGTTTATGTTAGAAAAAAATGGAAAAATTTCTCTCACCAATTTGGTTGAGAGCATTTTTGAAACGTGTGTGTGCGTACATGTGTGTGTAAAATTAAGTTGTTAGAAAAGGGAGTTAAGTTAATGATACCATCAATGGTTTTATAGTCAGAAGAGTTCAGTTTGGGTTTCAAATTCATCATTTACAAACTAGCATTGGCAACTGAAGCTAGTAACTATATGAGTACTTATTACACTTACTAGTTTAGATGGCTAGGACTGTTCTCTTAGGGACTCTAAGTGTCATTCTTACTCCAGAAAACATTTTTTTTTAAATGGAGGATGATGTGATATAATCAAATGCTGTCTCTTCCTTTTTCATTCTCTCTCTCTTCCCTCATCTATATTAAAATATTTCATCCAATTTAGAATTGACAAAAGAATGTAATAAGGTGTGAATCAAAGTCTGTTTTGCATTGTCATCATATACATCCATAGATCTTAGAATGTATTAGGCAATTTTTATTTACAGAAAAAGTTCTACAGTGATATTTATAATGATCTTATGTATTATTTGGTAGACATGCAACATTGTTTTTCTCTGCCCTATAATGTGGGTCTTGTCAGTCTTGAGGCATATGTTTTACTCATGATGCTTCAGCATAATTTTTCCCTAAAATGTAGCAACAAACACAAAGCACATATGCCCACTACTATTGATTCAATATTATCATCTATGGATATAAAATGGCATTATTATTTTTCCTTACAATAATTACTACAGGATCAGAATGGCCTTCTGTAGTGAATACTAGATTATACTGAACCTTTTTTTTTTCAAATCTAATTGCTTTAGTCTGTTTTATGAAAAGGCAAGACTTTACAAAATATCTGCTCAAGTAACTCTTTACAAATTTCTGAGAAATCTGGTTAAGATATTTTAATTGAACATCAGGTAAAATGAGCAAAGGTTTTGCAGATATTCAGACTTCTTAGTGAATTATGGCTTCATCTAGAACCTTGAATTATTATTGGAAACAAATGGATGTTCTCTCTTTTCTATTCTTTTCCCCTTTCCTGCTTATTCAATAGAGTTGTAATAACATGTTGTAAAACACTGTTCTAAAAAAAAGAGATAAGACTGAAAATTAGACACTGAGTCTCAATCTTAGAGAGGAAAATTGCTATCGTGAACCTCCAAATATACTTCTATTTATTTTCAGATGTTGTACAGAGTATTGAGATTCAGCGATTTGCCATCCACATCTGGAAACCTTATGCTCGCCTGAACCTCAAGGGCTTATAGAAGTTCTGTGTTTTGACTGTAATCAGGGAAGATGAACGTTCTAGAACAAATAAAAGTTTTTGCTCAGAGATTACATTTGTCTTGTATCACTTACCTTGAAAAAAATTCAGAGAAATAAAGCTGTTCCTACCTTGTCCATGCATAAATCTCTCCACAAACTCTGGAAAGGACCCAGGATCTGGATGACCAGCTACCATCAGAAAGAAATAATAGAAAGAAACAGCCACATCCTTCGCATTCCGGCAAAGATAGATCATCTAAGGGGATGAAAGTGTATACTAAACCACTTAGTATATGTTCAAGATTTAAAAGAAAATATCTATGTTTTCAACTATAAACATAACAGATATTCATTTTATAAAATGCACAAAAATATAAAATTATAAAGAAAACTCCATAATCTGGTGACAACAGCTTTTGTAGTCCTTTCAATGTTCAAGTGTATAGATACACTTTTTTTTGTTTGAGTCAAAGTTTCACTCTGCCTCCCAGGTTGAAGTTTAGTGGTACGCTCATGACCACCACAACCTTGACCTGCTGGGCTCAGACGATCCTTCTGCCTCAGTCTTCTAAGTTGCTGGAACCAAAGGTGTGTGTCACCACTCCCAGTTACTTTTTTTTATTTTATTGTAGAGAAGAGGTTTTGCCAAGTTGCCTATGCTGATCTTGAACCCCTGGGTTCAGGCAATTCTCTCACCTCCAACTCCCACATTTCTGCAATTACAGGTGTGAGCCACCATGCCCAGCCTGTTCTTACTTTATATTCTTGTCATTTTTCACATACAATGCCTCATTTGAGTGTCACAAATTTGCTAATATATATTGAGTTTGATGATTTATTTTTATTCCCAATGTATAAGTGAAGAGACTAAGTTGATGTTTAGTGAGTCTACATCATTGACAGTAAATCAATGAGAGTAAACAATCTGATAAATTACTCAGTCAACTATTCAGTCCTCAGGTCTTTATACTATATCACCATTCTGCATAATAAAAAGAAATTAGTTTTGCTGTTCCCTCACTATTAGTATTGGAGGAAAAACAAACATTATGAAGTTCTATTTAAATGACACATTGATCACAGAGAAAATATAATTTCTACCAACACCTTGTTGAGTTTCCATTTACAAACAGCAGAAACACCAATGAATTAGTAATCAGAAAGCTTTGATTTTAGTTGCTAGATGTGGCATTAAACAATTCTATCATTTTGTTCAAAGTAACTAAATTTCCTCTTCACTAAATGAGTTGGATCAAATATCTATAGTTGATCTATATCAACTCTAGCTCTGATACTCAAGACTGCAGGAAAAGATCTGCAAAAGTAAACTTCGGTATACTTCCGGTCTTCTCCTTAGGCCCTCGGGCACCTAAGTTGTGCCTTCAAAGAAGGCAGGTCTTCATTCTCTGCTGTTCAGTGAATGTGATGAGACCCACTAATTTGTCTTAATGAACTCTCTCCACTTTTTGGCATTTAAAATAAATCTTCTATTTTATTCTTAAAGGTATGGCTTTAAGTTTTAAGGTCCTACTGTAAAAATCTCCAATGAATACAGAATATGAGTGATTTTTTTAATATACAAGCTATCATGAGGTTTATTGAACTTTTTCAATCTAATTTCCAACTCTATTTCTTTTCCTCTATTAGTTGAATGAAATCTCTTGCCACTATATCTATGAATTTATTTCAGAGATTTATTTATGTTATTCTCTCTTGCTTGAATGCTCTGTGCATATCAGAATGCTATCCATACTTTATTTCTTGACTCCAAGTTCTCCATGAGGTTTTTTATTCTTGCAGATGGGAAAAATAAGTGATCTCTTTTCCACTAAATTCCCATTCATTTATATTCTTTTTCTTTTGACAGGTCTTATTCAATACCAAAACTTTTCACTGTACACACTGTTCTTCTTTCTGCCTTCAAGAAAAATCTAGCTTTTTCCTGAAGATATGACGTTCCCTGAAGCTCTCTCCAATCAAACTTGCTAGCTGCGCACAGTTCACTTGGGATCATAATCCAACTTTAAAATCTTACACTTGAAAGACCCTATTCCTATGACACCTAGCTAATCCATACTTCTTCTAACTAATGCCATTTCTAAGTTTGTGGTCATCCCCTTGCTTGCTTTATTTATTTATGTATTTATGTGTGTATGCATTATGTATGTATGTATGTATTTATGTTTGTTTTAGAGTTGGAATCTCATCGTTGCCCAGGCTGGAGTTCAGTGGCATGTTCATGGTCATTGCAGCCTTGACCTGCTGGGTTCAGGCGATCATCCCACTTCAGCCTTCCAATTAGCTGGAACCACATATGTAGGTCACCACAACTGGCTAATGTTTTTTTTTTTTTGTACAGATGAGGTCCCACCAAATTGTCCAGGCTGGTCTTGAATTTGTGGACTTGAATTTTGCCTCCGCCTCCCAAAGTGTGGAAATCCAGGTCATCCATTCTCCTTGCTTTAACTGAAGATTTGAATACATGCCTCATGGTATTGTTCTCTATACAAACATTTTAAAAAATCATTCTGTGTAAATTTAGCATCTAAGATTGAGCCTCAAACTTAGAGAGGAAAATTACCACCTCCAATGTATGCATGATTCATCTACTTCATGCATTCATACCATTAATTTTCTATTTTACTTAAGCAAATAACTTTTATAAACAAATCCTTAATTTTGCATTCACCATAAAGGTTTCACTTTGGAGAACTTATTCTGGGCCATAATATTTCTTCCAAGAAAGTTCTACTTTTCCCTTCCTCTTCATCAGTTATTCAATGTATTTCCTACAATCATACTAAAGCCTCAAATCCAAAGTCCTCGATTATTTATCTTATCTATTAGCCTGCTTCTTCTTGCCACTTTTTTCTCTTTATCCCATGCAGTCCAGCACTCCAAACACATTTGTACAAATATCCTCAGTCTATTTTCTTGCTTTCCCATTAACCATTCTGTAACTACTTTGAACATGAATTCATCCAAATCTCTTCTACTCTTTGATGACCTCTGAAATACAAGCAATTTTGTCAAGACTTAGACTATTATAAATGTATGGTACCTATTTCCATTCAAGAAATAAAGAGTTAGCTGCAAGCCCACAAGCCGTTCTCTAAAGAAAAGAAGAAAATTGACTTGGTCAAATATCTTGGGAAAAAAATCGTAATGACACATCTCCTGGACAAGTACCTAACTGGTATTTACTAATGAAAGAGCTCCTATGTACAAAATGACTTCAGCAGTGTATACATCATCTCTGTAGGATTACTCATGATAAAAACAAACAGATAGACATTGGAATATTTGAAATTTTGGTTATGCATCTCTAAAAAATGTCAAACATGCCATGGAACATCACAGTGCAAAATGGAAATGGTAGATTATTAGTGATGACTGGATATAGTACTTCAAGATCTTGGCGAACAGCACTGGTGGTAGAAAGGTCTTGAAGAACAACTTTGGTGCTCTCAGACTTCATGTTTTGCCTGTACTTCAGGGTGATATGTAACATTCTTTCTACAGAGCAATATTGATCGTGTATATCATTAGATTAATGTGTCTATAAGGCCTCATTACCATTGAAGTGGAATCCAAACTTTGTAACTTAGCATCTGATGTTTCCTATAATCAGTCCCTGACTTATCTTCCTTTACTTATCTAGCCAATATGTATACTTAATCTTCCAGCCAAGCAGAATTGATTTCAGATGTTCCCTCAGATTATCTCTGAGTTTGCATAGAATAACTCTTACACCTCTTTCAAATATAAGCTGAGATGTCACCTGCTCCTGAATGCCTTCCTGCCCCCATGTCTAGGTTTGAATTCTTTCTCTTAACCTATTGAGAGATGAGATAGTCAGAAGCTAGTTAGGCAGACAGAGATCAAGGAGACTTAACTCCTGCGGGAACGCCCCCTGCACCACCCCCACTATATAATTGTTGACTGAAAATGTGGTTAATGTGGTTTAGAACATCCTCTCAATACAGGATGTACTGCTCAAAGGGCTTTTTTGCTGCTTAAACACAGGTGCAGTAGCTTAATTAAATGTCCTAACTTGATCTTGGCTTATTATAATATCATTAACATAGGATTAGCATTGAGGTTTACCTCCCTCTTCCCTCCAGTGGCCTTTCTGTGGTACTTATGGGTAATATTCAAGATGGAGTAACTTTGGTCAAAGACCCACAGGCACAATAAGAATTGAGCCTCAGGAAGTAAAGGGCAGATGAGATGTAAATAAGAGCAATACTCTCAGGAAAGATAAGATAAAAACCACAAAAATACTCCTGGGACCAGGTTAGCCATTTTGGGCAACCTCTCTTTTTCTAGAGAGCTTTGTTGCTTAATAAACTCCTTCTTTCACTCATTGTTTTTGTGTCTGCGTTCCTTAATCTTCTTGGTCGTGGGACAAGAACCGAGTTTGCTGGCTTAAGCTAACAGTGAAGTTCAAAACTCCTGCAACACTATGATGACCTGTGGTACCTCCTCCATTGTCTATTCACTTGTCCTTTTACTCCAGTGGACTATGTGTCCTTGAAGACAAGGGTCACACGTGTCATCTTATGTCCCTAGAATATGATAGGCACTCAATCAATAATTATGTTATTATACTTGTCTGAATTATCCTTTTCTGATTCATTTACATGCCTCAAAATGCCAAGCACAGTATTTTGTAAAAGGACATTCAATGCAATCAGTAATAACAACAGATATAAAGTACAATTTCTTGTTTAAAATGTCCTAGAACTATGTCAAGCACTTTACAAGAATTATCATGTAATCCTTATTACAACTCTTTGAGGAATATATTAGTATTATTTTTCTTTCACAGATGTGAAACGGAAGCTTACAGAGTTTAACTGATTTTTTCAGGACTACGTCTGGCAGAATTAAAATCTAAACTCTCTAACTTTATCTCTATAATCCACATTTATTAAAGGTCTATAGATTAAGTGAATGAGTAAATAAACAAGTGGTTATATTATAAAGTTAGGATGATAACTGATGAGATAATTATAAAATTTCTTGGGACGAGCAGGGGACGGTGGCTCACACCAGTAATCCCAGCACTTTGGGAGGCTGAGGCGAGAGGACTGCCTGAGCCCAGGAGTTTGAGACCAGCCTGAACAACATGGTGAGACCTTGTCTCTACAGTAATTCAAAAAATTAGCCAGGCATGGTGGCGTGCACCTGTAGTTTCAGCTATTTGGAAGGCTGAGGTGGAAGGATCACCTGCACCCAGCAGGTCGCGAGGCTGCGGTAGCTGTGATATCCCACTGCACTCCAGTCTGAGTGAAATTCTGACAAACATGAAAATGAAATAAAATAAATAATAAAATAAAGTAAAATTTATTGGAGTTGGATGAGGTTCTGAGAACACTTGACTCTGATTACCTTACAGTTCTTTTCCCAAAATGAGGCTGGAAGAAGTTCAGGTGGCAGATGAGTCTTTAGTATTCTAGGAGATTCCATTTCTTTTAATAATTTTATTCCTGATTTTTAAAAAAATAAAGATTAGGCCACTTCAAAAATTACAAATATTTATATTAATTTAAATGTTTATAAAACAGAAGTAACTAAGATTTTATATTGTGTTTATTAAAGTAATATAATGAAAGAACTATATAGGAAATTACAAAAATAAATAAATAAAATTTCACCACTTATTAACATTTTGATAAGCAACCTTCTGTATACATATATGCCTAAACTCACAGCAATCCTGATACCACACGCACAGATGAAATTTTAGATATGTTCTAATGTCTATTTTCCCAAACATACTCAAATTTCAGTCTCAAGAAACAAAAAGATTTGTAATGATTTCAAAATGTTATGTCACATTTAACTTTTTATTGTTTAACATTTAGGTTATTTCTAATTTTCCACAATATGAAAAGAATCTTGGATAAATATATTTTTGCATATGTTATTGAAAAATTTATGAATATTTTCCAAGTACTTAAAATATGATTACATTCAGCCTATAGAAAAATAAATGTTCTCATATTACTAGATTTTGCTGAAGGTTTATAAGGACTACCCTTATTCACTCTATTCCAGATACATGCTATGCTACAAACCTTGTCAAGATTTAAATTTAGGCTGGTCTCGGTGTCTCAGCCTGTAATCCTAGCACTTTGGGAGGCTGAGGCAAGTGGATTGCCTGAGCCCGCAGGTTCGAGACCTTCCCGGGCAACTTGGCAAAACCCCGTCTCTCCAATAAATCAAAAATTAGCTGGGCGTGGTAGCACGCGCCTGTAGTTCCGGAAGGCTGAAGCGGAAGGATCTCCAGAGCCCAGCAGGTCGAGGCTGCAGTGGCCGGGAGCGTGCCACTGCACTCCAGTCTGGGTGACAGTGAGATTCCTACTCAAAAAAAAAAAAGTTTAAATTTAAATGTGTACACTCTCCTATGTGGAAGACTCCTAATACTAATTGCCACTATTGCTTGCAATCTCTTGCTTTTATCATCTACATGTATATCTTAAAATATATGCATTATAGCTTTTAAAATCAATCTGAACGTTACCATTCATAAAGTCTCCTTTTCTGCATTCCAGGAAAGGTATTCGGTTAAAAATTGCATCTTCTTTGCACTTTTCCACATCACCCTCTTTATAGATCATGTATACAATTTCACTAACCCAGGTTGTACCTGTTAAAATTAAAGAAACATGAGTCTCCCACTGACCATGGACTACTGATGACAAGAGTGCTGGATTTATGGATGGATAAAGAAGTAAATTACCAATGCAATATTATTTAAAGGGTGTCTTAATAGCCACAAGATTCAAGAAATATAGTCTTTAATATTTCCTCTTTAAAAAGCCAAAGAAGCCAGGCTCGGTGGCTCAGCCTGTAATCCCATGCCTTGGGAGGCTGAGGTGAGTGGATTGCCTGAGCCCGCGGGTTCGAGACCCACCTGGGCAACTTGGTGAGACCTCATCTCTACAATAAATCAAAAATCAGCCGGGCATGGTAGCGTGTGTCTGTAGTTCCAGCCACTTGGAAGGCTGAAGCAGAAGGATGGCCAGAGCCCAGCAGGTCAAGGCTGCGGTGGCCAGGAGCGGCCACTGCACTCCAGTCTGGGTGACAGAGTGAGATTCCAACTCAAAAAAAAAAAAAAAAAAAAAAAAGCCTCAGTAAATAATAAATACTAGAGTAAGGAATGCCTGAGAAATGAGTTCAAATTTCCCCATTATGAATGGTGACATTGTGCAAGCTGATAGCAGCTTTGGGTTTTAGTTTTTAGATCTCAAAAGTAAGGAGGATTGAATAATAGGTTATGCATGCAAGAATGCGTTCAACCACAAATTTTATTGATAATATATTATGTCTCAGGATATGGTCTTCTCATTGAGAGAATACAGAAAAGAATAAATTAGGTTTCTGTCCTAGTATAGCCAAAGGTCCTTTGAAGAGTCAGTAACAATATTCAATAGTAACACTTTTTTTCCTTTATTTCTTTTACTTTTTTTTTTTTTTTGAGTTGGAGTCTCACTCTGTCACCCAAGCTGGAGGGCAGTGGCATGCTCTCAGCCACTGCAGCCTTGACCTGCTGGGCTCAGGAGATCCTTCTGTCTCAACCTTCCAAGTAGCTGGAACTACAGGCACGTGCCACCATGTTCGGCTAATTTTTTGATTTATTGTAGAGATGAGGTCTCACCAAGTTGCCCAGGTGGGTCTCGAAATTGTGGGCTTAGGCAATTCACTCACCTCAGCCTCCCAAGGCGCGGGATTACAGGTTGAGCCACCAAGCCCAGCTCACTTTTTGTTTTCTTAAGATGCTATTATACAGGTTGGCATAGGGGTTTAAATGACTGCAAAGGAGGAACATATAACTCAGTGTGCTGCTATTGTTATTGCTATTTCTATTGCTATTGCTACTGCTGCTGCTGCCATGATTTTTGACAAAAGACACTTTCAAGTGAATGTGACCATTGAGCTTAGCCTTAGTAAATCGATAGCATAATTTCACCAGGTGTGGGCGATAAGGAAGGGTCCAACCCGTCAGAAAATCAGTCTCCTTCTTTTTAAAAATATAATATCGGATGCTTAATAATAGGGTAGTGGGCTGGGCTCAGTGGCTCAGCCTATAATCCCAGCACTTTGGGAGGCCAAGGCAAGTGGATTGCCTGAGTGCCGCGGGTTCGAGACCAGCCCAGGCAAATTGGTGAGACCTTATTTCTACAATAAATCAAAAAATTAGATGGTGTGGAAGTGCCCACCTGTAGTTCTGGCTACTTGGAAGGCTGAGGAGGAAGGATCATTGGAGACCAGCAGGTCGATGCTGGGGTGGCTGTGAACATGCCACTATACTCCAACCTGGTCGAGGAAGTGAGAATCCAACTCAAAAAGAAAAAAAAGGAAAAAAGAATGGTGTAAAGGTTAGAAAAATAGCTGGAAATAGACTTTAAAGCTTAAATTGAAGAATCTACCTGGAAAGACATGTGGGGCTGAGGCTATAGAAGCGAGCAGATCACAAGCATACAATGCTGTGTAGTTCATACCAAAGAATCTACATTGTTTGATAAAAGTTATGGAAAGGCATTGACGTATATTCAGCAGGAGAACAAATTTATCTGGATTGTGTTTTAGAATAATTTTTTTGGTGGCAGAATAAACACAGCAAAGAAGTGAGGGATCAATAAGAAGGGAGACAAGAGACTCTGTAAAAGGCTAACTGTGAGACTTGTCTGCCAGATTAAGCAGGCAAGACAGTTTAATTGATTGCAAGTTAGAAATGAAGATGCCAGAGAAATTGAAGTTAGAATAGCTCTAAGGTTTCCTTTTCAGATGGCTGGTACTGTGCTGCCATTGATCCCAACAGAGAAAGAGATTTAGAGTGAAAGCAGGCAAGACATATTTAGAGTTTGACATGCTTATTTTTAAGTGGTAAATAAAACAACCAGGTAGAAAAATCTGGATTTAGATTGTTCTAAAGGTATGTTCTTGTAAAATTTCAGAACTCTGCTAAAAGCTGGTGTTCTGTGGATTGACTTAAAGAACTGGTGAACTGAAAGGGAATTTTACACTATCTGTAAAAAGTGCTCATACTCTGTACATGCAGTGACATAAAGTAAACACAGTTGGTAATTACATTTTCATTATGAGATGAATATAAATGTATTCATCTATATTATATAAGTTTATAACTGTGGTCAACAATATTCATTTGTCAATGTGTTGTTCAAGTTATAGGTACAGATTGTGATCATGAAATAGAGCTATACTTTCTCCCCCAACAAGTTCTAAAAAGGCCCAATCCCACTTAGCTTCTGAGATAAAATGAGATTGGGTGCATTCAGGGTGGTATAGCTGTAGATATTTGTTTTGTCCATATCAAAACTGCTGTATCTGCTGGGTATGGTAGCTCATGCCTTAATCCCAGCACTTTGAGAGGCCAAGGTGGGAGGATTGCTTGAGTGCAGGAATTTGAAGTCTGCCTAGGCAACATAACAAGACCTTGCATCCACAAAAATTTTTAAAAAAGATTAGCTGGATGTGTGGTGATGCACACTGTAATCAAAGCTAGTTGGGAGGCTGAGGCAAGAGGATTGCCTCAGCCCAGGAGGTCAAGGCTATAGTGAGCTGTGATTGTGCCACTGCACTCTAGCCTGGGCAACAGAGCAAGATCTGATTCAAAAAAAGAAAAGAAAAGTAGAGAAAAAAAACATATCTGCCCTTATTTAATATAGAGAATGAATATATAAGAGTCATTTAGGGTGGGTTTATCATTTAAGGTGCAAAATGAACAACGTCAACATAACAAGGAGATTTACCAGATTTAGGATAGGTGGCAATGACAATATCATCTGGTCTTGCCTGGAATGCTTCCACATCATACCAATATTTGACAAAATCTTTATACATTAGAATACCGTGGATTTCTTCAAACATCGCATAATAGTCAGGGTCAGAGGAATTCATCACAGAATGGTACACTGAAAAAAAAAGTTCTGTTTTACACTTTGTATGTACTTTACAATGTCTGAACAATAACAACAACGATGTATACTGAAATCCTCTAGGAATTTAACACTTCTCAGTTGTTACACATATGAGGGGAAAACAAGCTAAAGTTGTATATGACACAACCTTGGTGCTTGAAGAGTTTCTAATCCTTTTAGGAAGATGTCCAACATATATAAGGAAAAGAAAATACAAGGGATTATAAAGTAAAATGCTTAAAACTAAGTAAAACTAGCCGGGCTCAGTGGCTCAGCCTGTAATCCCGCGCCTTTGGGAGACTGAGGTGAGTGGATTGCCTGAGCCCACCCGCGGGTTCGAGACCTGCCTGGGCAGGAGAGACCTCATCTCTACAATAAATCAAAAAACTAGCCGGGCATGGTAGCGCGCACCTGTAATGCTGGCTACTCGGAAGGCTGAGGCGGAAGGATCGCCGGAGCCCAGCAGGTCGAGGCTGCGGTTGCCAGGAGCGGCCACTGCACTCCAGTCTGGGCGACAGAGTGAGACTCCAACTCAAAAAAATAAAAAAATAAAGTAAGTAAAACTGTGGCACATTCAACACATTCAATAATAAATGAAAACAGCAGGGTTTTCAATTTCTGCCAAAATTGGTGGCACATATAAAAAGAGTAAGAGGTCCTAGGCTGGGTGTTATTGCTCACATCTACAATTCCAGTATTTTGGGCAACATAGCAGGAGAGCTCATCTCTTTAAAAAAAAAAAAAAAAAAAAGAGGGAGAAAGAAAGAAAAAGAGGTCCAGAAGTACAATGTTTTGACAAAAGATTCAGTTTTTACACATTAACTAACAATAATCACATTTGATTATTATTGCCAAAGTCAGAGCTTTTATTTGTTTCTGAATATGTATCATTTAATGAAAAGAGTCTAAATGCTAGGTGAACATATTCAAAGGAAGACTAATTTAATGACACTGTGATGGCTGTATCCAGAACATGGAATCTTGATGGTACAGAGGATTCCTTTGTGACTTTTAAGATTATCTTTACTTTTTCCTTTCATTTGATCAATAAGGTAGTAAGTACTCTCACTGAATGTCTTGACTGAAAATTATAAGGGTAAGCAATATGGTTATCATTTGCTAATTCACTTCCTTATTTCATGACAATCCATATCATGTTCAGTCATAGAATTTCTAATTCAGCAAAGTTTCCTTCATGTGTTTTCAATTTCTTTTTGTACCTTTATTTCAAATTCCAAATTTACTCTAATTTGAATTTATCACATAGCATCTCAACAAATTTTATATTTCCTTGACATTAACCTTTCTCCCTCTTATTCACCTTTGCTCATAAAGCTGCTTGGTTTAGCCTTTCTACCTCTTATTCACCTTTGCTCATAAAGCTGCTTGGTAAATTGTTTTATATGCATACATTGCCTCAGCCCTAAGAGCAATTTCACCTCCTTCAAATCCTTCCTTTCAGACATATCAGATGCAGTCTCACCAATACTGTGAGATTTCAATTTCTGAAATAGAAAGCATTCTTGTCAAGAAATCTCTTGTTCCCTAAACTTTCCCCTTGCTCTCAGAAAATAAAATTCTCATTAGAAGAAATGTATATAAAAGTCATCACTACTTAGTCTGTTTATTCACTCTTTTACTCATTAATTACTCTCTTGGTGTTCAGCCAAGTTTGTGAAAATTGGCTTGTAGTCAACTGGGAGTGGCAGACTTATCATGCAGTAGTTGGCTGACTTCTAGCTTCCCCTTCAGGGTAATTTTGGTCTCTGTGTTAAAGTTGGTGGTGTGTAATACAATCTCTTTCCTTGTTTCAGTTCTTTTGGTAAATTGTTTCATATCACAGAGTACAGATTCACTTTCTAGCTGTTCTCTCCTTTTCTCAAAAAATATATTTCAGTTCGAAATTATGTATTTCATATCCTGAGTATGTGAGTCAGTTGTTCAAAAACACCAACACAAAAATTGTTTAAAAACGTGACTCACAAATTCAAAAGGAGTCTTTCTCCTTTTTTCCCCCTCTTTATTTTTTTTCTTCTCTCTCTCTTCCTCCCTTTCTTTATCCTTCCCTCTCTCCTCTATCGTTCAAACTCCCTTTTATCCAGCAAATACTCCCTGTGTGCATGCTTATTCTGTTCCTAAACACAGTGATAAGTGCTGGAATACTATGGTAAGGATAGATACACAGAGTTCTCATAGCCCTCACTCTCTTGGATTCACCTGTATTGGGATTAAACTATAGAAGGCAAAGACAAGTATTTTGTGCATTCTTCTGTTCCAGACTCCATCACTGTGACACAAAGTAGATGCTGAGAAATTTTGTTAAATTTAATTATTATATCTAGTCTCTGTGGGCTCTGTAGCTTCTACTAAAAATTTCTAGATACAATTTTTTTTAAAAGGCAGTATCTTTCCATGACCTATATACCTGTCAATGATTTATCAGGGACTTTGGATTTCTACTGAATTTATCTGAAGTTTCTCATATGAAAGAAACAGCACTGTCTGCACATTTGTTAATCACAGGAACACAAGACCAAATGTCAGTCTCTATTCTACCTGTTTCTACCATGCTTACTTTGTTTTCTCATCAGTAGACTGGAGAACATGCCCAGTGTTCAAATTAAAAGGTGGTTAATTGTATTGCTATGATTTTATGTTAAAGCTCTTTAAACAACAAGATACAATATAAATGCAAATATTATTTTTTAATTGCACACATTTTAAACAGTTTTAAAAAGAGTTTAAATGTTCTACATTATTAATTAGCTAATTAATGAAAACTTCATGCTCTATTTTCTTTCTTAACAGCTTTATGATATACAATTAGCATTCTACATTTTCTATGCCTAAAATCTAAGAATTGATATCAATAATAAGAAAGTACAACCTGTCGAGATGATCCTGCGAAAGAACTTGAATGATCTAATTTAGTTCTCTTCAAATATCAAGGCAGGTTTTAAGCTGCAAAAAACAGATGAGAATCACTTGTGCATTTGAAATGCTTCTGGAGAGGTTTTATTCTGAGTGCCAGGGAAGGAGGCGGAGATTAATTTGTGGGGCTTGGCTTCGTGAAATGCATGATGCAATGATTAACACAAAAAGCTATAAACCTGCAGATGCAGTTAACCACATAGAATTTTGTTTATTCGTACAGAGATGTAGAAAGCCTGTTGTTCTCTCTATATATATAGATAAATAAATAAAATTTCTTCGGCTCATATTCAAATTCCTATGTTTGCCAACAGCCATCAAGGAGTTGGGAAGAGGGAGGGAGAAGTGAAGAGAAAGATGAGAGAGAAGAGTGCTGGAGCGAAACACAAGTGGAATTGGGAAGAGAGAATCTTCTATTCACTCACTGATGAATAATACCATGGGTGAGGTTGACCTTCCACAAGAATAAAAATAGATGAGTGCAGAAAATGACAGGAAAGAATTAAGAGGGCAACAAGGATCCTGATCACTTTACTGAGACCTTCCAAAGAGGGCTTTATAGTACTTGGTTGTGTCCCAACTGAAGCATCTATTTAAAATATTTTCCTTTAACTCTTAAGCAGCCTGGGGAAAAAAATGGCAGTTAAAGAAAGAATAGACACATCACTTATCTTTGGATGATGATGATGATTGTCTGAGTTTCACTCTGTTGCCCAGGCTGGAGGACAGTGACACAATCATCTCGTGCCTCAGCCTCCTGTGTAACCGGGACTCTAGCCGCCCACCACCACACTTGGCTATTTTTAAAAATTTTTTGTAAAGACAAGATCTCACTATTTTGCAGTGGGGCTCAAGCAATTCTCCTGGGCTCAAGCAATTCTCTTGCTTTGGCCTCCCAAAGTGCTGGGATTACCGGTGTGAGCCACTGCGCCCAGCCTGGATTATTATTTTATAACCCTCACTTCCCCCTGCTACCAATCACATAATAGTATAGTACAGAATTTCTAGGAAAAGGTAGACATGGATACTGTTAGAATTTAGACAGGAGACTGAGAAAAATAAATGTCTTAGGATTTGTGGAATCCATGAATCTTTCTCCTTTTCATTATTTGCACCTACTCTGTCTTCGGTTAAGGAAATTCTCCCTTGCTCCACTCCATCCAGTGAGTTCTCATTTCTCTTCCAATTATAATTATACTACATTTCCTTTGAGAGTCTTTGCCTGATTTTTATAAGACAAGTGTGTCTCTCATGTGACTTTTGAACCTTATGTTTTCTCCTAATTAGCACATATTTCACTTTTATAATTAATATTTACTTGTCCGTTTTCCTTGTTAGACTGTAAATAGCTTGAAAATAAGGTCTGACTCTGCAATTAGCCCACTGCCTGGCAACTAGTAGGCTAGGACTTGAATATGTATTTACTGAATAAAAATGGCTGATGTGTTCAAGAAAAAAAAGTTAAGGGGACTATAGTTATAAAAGGCAATAATATCCAGCCTTACCCAAAGTACAAAGAGTTAAGTGAGACTTTTCATGATAGAAAAGTAAAGTAAGATGGAGTAACCAGAGACCCAAATTTAACTTTTGAAATTACTTGATTTTATGCAGTTTATTATTTGATTAAAGTAAAAAGTGTTTAAAACAACTATTAAGTATACAAATTTAACATGGACCATAATTTTTAACCCTGTGACATACCTTCACCTTATTTTTTTTAATGATAAGGATCTATGAGGTTTCCTTTATTGGTAGTAAAAAAAGTTACTTAATCCAAAAAGGCAGGAATGGGCTCAGGCAAATCTGAACAGGTTTAATCTTCAAAACATTTGTCTTTCACTTGTAAACAATTGATTGCAGGGATGTTACAAATGTTTCTAACTCATGTGATATTGACAACCTCAAAGGTTCAATACACTATTAGTCTTAGAAAATCTTCAGAATGATAAAACTTCACTAGCTGATAAAAGCAAAACAATAGGTAAGATGGCCCTGAAACTTCATTCTTCTCCATTAATAACAGGTATAGAATGAGTTACAGAATGTTTGAGTCAATGGTCTAAAGTTTTCTCCTTTGGACATGCAATAATTAAAAAAATTCCAAATAAACATCAGTTTTTAAAATGTTTATCTTGACCCTCAGAATCTGAGCAGATACCCCAAAACTACATCTATGATGAATCAATAAAAATGTCAACAACAACAAAACAAGAATTTGGGCAGGCATGCCATCATACTGCTGTCATACTCCAAAACACTGAAAACAAATGTGGAACTGGCATGTCTGTGTGACAAAATGTTCCCCAGACAATGACTGTTCCTTATTTGTGACTATTGGGCTTTTTCTTTTCCTTCTCTATCACACACTTTCTTCGAGTTAGGTTTAAGGATCCTATAAAGTCTTGACCTACAAAGTCATTTATTAGTAACAAGATTTTAATAGTGTAAAAACAAGTGGCATTATAACTGAGTTTTTAAAAATATCAATTATCAACATTTTAAAAAAATAGTTTTAGGTTTACAAAACAATGAGACAAGAGTACAGAAAGCCCTTTTATATCCCTTCTCCCTCATACAGTTTCCCGTTTATTATTAAAACCTTGCATTAGTGTAGTAAATTGGAAAAGATTGAAGAACCAATGTTCATACATTAACATTAACTAAAGTCCATAGTTTACATTAGCATTCCCTCCTTTTTTTCTCTTCACACATTAAAATATTTTTATTTTTCATTCAATTCTGCTGATTTTTTTTTAAATGTTTTGAAATCAAGGGATACATATAAGGATTTGTCATACAGGTATATTGCATGAAGATGAGGAGATTTGAGCTTATGACAAGTCCCATCCCCCACATCCCTCATGATAAGCATGGTATCCAATGTTTGGTTTTGTATCCCTTATTCCCCTCCTTCTTCTACCCTTTAGGAGTGCCCAGTGTCTGTTGTTTGCATCCTTGTGCCTCTTGTGTGTTCCCAGTGTTTAGTACCCACTTATGAGTGAGAACAGGTATTCAGTGTTCTGTTTCTGTGGTAATTTGCTTAGAATGATGGCTTCAAGCTGCATCCAAGTTGCTGCAAGTGCCATGGTTTCATCCTTTTGTATGGCTACAGAGTATTCCATATTGTGTATGTACCATGTTTTCTTTAGACCACTGTCAACAGGCACCTGGGTTGGTTCCGTGTTTTTGCTATTGTGAATAGTGCAGCAATAAGCATACAAATGCAGGTGTTTTTTTTGTAAAATGACTTATGCTCCTTTGGGCATATTCCCAGAAGTGAGATTGCTGAGTCAGGTTGATCTGTTTTTTAGAGAAACCTCTAAACTGTTTTTCACAGGGTTGAACTAACTTACTTTCCCACCATGTGTACAAGCATTCCATTTTCTTTGCTTCTTCATCAATATCTGTTGACTTTTGACTTTTTAATAATAACCATTCTGATTGGTATGAGATGATCTCTCACTATGGTTTTGATTTGCATTTCTCTAATGACTAGCGAAGCTAAGCATTGTTTCATGTGTTTATTAGCCACTTGTATGTCTTCTTTGAGAAGTGTCTGTTCATGTTCTTTGCCCACTTTTTATGGGGATATTTGGGTGTTCCTTTTTTTTTCCTGTCTATTTGTTTGGGTTTCTAAGAGATTCTGGGTATTAGGCCCTTGTTGGATGGGATGCATAGTTTGAAAATACTTTCTCCTATTCTGTGGGTTGGCTCTTTACTTTTTGATGACTTCTTTTGCTGTGCAGAATATTTTTCTCTTGATAAGTTTCCACCTTATAAAATTTAATTTTCTCTGCATTTGCTTTTGAGGACTTGGTCATAAACTCATTGCCTATGTCAATGTCCAGGACCATATTCCTTAGGTTTTCTTCTAAAATTTTTATACTTTGAGGCCTTACATTTAAGTCCTTGATCTTTTTTGAGTTGATTTTTGTATATGGTGATGGGTATGAGTCCAGTTTCATTCTTCTGCATATGCTTATCCAGTTTTCACAGCACCATTTGTTTACTAGGGTGTCCTTTACCCAGTGTTTGTGTTCAGCAAGAACAATAAAGCCAGAGGCACCATGTTTCTGGACTTCAAACTTTACTACAAGCTACAGTAACCAAAGCAGCATGGTAGTATTACAAAAATAGACACATGGGCCAATGGAACAAGATAGAGAAGCCAGAAATAAAACCACTAACCTACAACCAACTCATCTTTGACAAAACCAACAGAATTTATTCTTTGTTAAATAAAGTGGGATGGGTATTGATAAATGTGTAATATCACACATTTGCCATTACAGTGTCATACAGAATAGTTTCACTGACCTAAAAATCCCTTGTGTTCAACCTATTCAACCTGCCTCCTTCTTCCCTAATCCTTAGTAACTACTAATCTTTATATTGCTTATAGTTTTGACATTTTCATGTAATTGGAGTCAAACCATATGCAGCTCTTTCAGACTGTCTTCTTTGATTTAACAATGTACATTCAAGATTCCTCCATGTTTTTTGGTGACTTGATAACTCATTTCATTTTGTTGCTGAGTAATATGCTTTTCTGTGGATAAACCACATTTTGTTTATCCATTCAACTACTAGAGAACATTTTGATTACCTCCACATTTTGGCAAATAGTAATAAAATGGCTGTAAACATGTACATGCAGGTTTTTGCGTGGATATAAGTCTCCACCGCATTTGGGAAAATACCTAAGTGTGTGATTGGTGGATGGTGCGAAAAGTGGTTGTACCATTTTGCATTCCCACTAGCTATGAACAAGGGTTCTTATTGCTCCATATCCTTGCCAGTACTTGGCGTTGTCAGATTTTCAGATATTATCTGTCTTTTGGGCTGTGTTTAATTTTTGTTATAGCTGTGGTGTCACAGTCGTCAAGTTTCTTTAGTGTCTTTGTTTTTGTCACCTCTGTTGTCTTCAGATTTTCCTAAAAAAAAACATTCTTCAATAAAGGCTAATTCTTGTAGTTCTTTCAAGCTGTAATCCACTGTTATTATACAGGAAACTTGTTAATATACTGACCAAGAACTGCAGGGTAGACATTCTCTAATCCTGTG